CGGAACCCGGTAGTACCGGCACCGACCAAAGGGGCGGGCGGCGTTCCAGTCGCGGCCACTCAGCCAACGGGGGTGAGAACGGTCTAGCTGACCGCTGAGTGGCTGCGAATCCACTATCAACTCGCTGAGGGAGGGGGGGTGAAGACCCCCCGCCCCTGGGGGAACGACTCCCAGACCGATCGGGGGAGGGACTCCCCTCAGAACGAGGGGCGCTGTGCTCCACCGGTGAGCGCCGGGCGTTGCCCGACAGTGGGCGTGGCTGGGCGCCCCCGCCCGTGGGAGTCGGGGGGCTGTCAGGGCCCTGAGAGGACGAGCCGCGCGCACCCAGGCACAATATGACGTGGTGGTTACCCTGGCAGTGCGTGCAGGGCCGCTGGTGCGGGCAGTCTCGTTGTAAATGCCTCTCCAGGCACGAGAAGCACCAGCGGCGCTCCCTGGCGATGGTTCGCCTCGCCGTAGTCGGCTTGCGCAACAACTTCGGGCACGACGCCGCCCGGTGGTCGGATGCTCGACAATAGGAGCAGGGAGGCGCCTCCCGGGTCGCTAGGCCACTATAGGAGGGTACTGGGGGGCGCCCTCCCGCGGGGGCTCCGCTCGGCCTCAGGGGGGTGGGCGCCGCCTTGGCCGGCTGATTCCGCCTCTCCCTGGGCACCGCTCGGTAGGCGGCCGGGGGGCTCTCGACGGCGCCTGCTGCGTTCTCCAGCTGCCTACACTGCTCCTCCAGGAAACGCAGCAGGTCCCTAAAGGGGGGCATGTACGAAGCGCCATCCCCTCCGTACCTCTCCTCAAAATGGAGCCGAAGGTCGAGGGGCAGACGGGACAGCACTATATGAAGGAGCAGAAAAGACCACTCGTCCACAGGTAAATCCAGCCGCCGCAACGAGTTGCACGCTACGACGACTGGATTCACTATGTCTTCACGTAGTCTAGTCCGGTCCTTCAGCAGCGGGAGGTTCAGCAGCCTCCGAACATGATCGTCCGCGATCCGCCGGACGTTGGCGTACCTTCCAGCAAGGAGGTCCCTGGCGTTTTGATAGGCGTCGTCCGACAACTTAAGGTGGCCGACGACTCCCCGGGCCTCCCCCTCCAGTGATGCCAGGAGGTACCCCATTTTTTGGCAGGGGGTCAGGTCCCTCCGGGCGTCCACCAGGCTGTCAAAAATGCCGACGAAGGTCAGCCACTCCGAGAGGACCCCGGAGAACCTTGGCAGGTCCAGCGTGGGGAGTATCCTAGCAGCTCTGGCTGAGTAGGCGGCTTCCGCGGGGACTCGAGAAGGCTACTCAGCCGAGCTTCGCGCTCCCTCTCCGCGTCCTTGGCCCCCGCCTCGATCAGGTCGTCCGTTAGCGCGAGGAACTCCTCGTAGTCCGCGCGGCAGAAGTCCAGGACTCCCTTTTCCAACTCCGAGTCCTGGAGCTCAGAGTAAGCCTCCTCCACGGCAGCCCTTCGAGCATCGACCTGCTCGAGCCTCTTCCTCAGATTATAGACCCTGTCCGGTCGGCCTATCAATGCGTGTGCGCTGGTGGCCCAGCGCAGCTCAGTCCGCAAGCAACGAATTAGTAGCTTATGTGACGGCATACTAAATACAATACAATAACGAATACTAATAACAAAATAAAAGAAATAACGAATACAGTACTACTAATACGATAATATCAATCAAACTACAAGTAAATACGAAAAAACACAAATCAAATTAGCACGTAACAACCCTAGTACGGTCAAATCAAGTTAAATTCAAATTGCGCAAATACAATTACTACTCTTTAGTTCAATTACAAATTACAGTATAAACGAAGATACTTCGAAATTCAGAAATCGATAAGTAATCCACTACAACTATCCGACAACGAAAATTAACCGATTACGTAAAAATAACCATCTACCTACATGACGTATATCTCTAGAAAAACTCCCGCTTGCGCAACCTAGGGCGCGGTTTTTCAAACTACCTACTAACCAAAAAAAAGGCAAGCAACAAACAACAAAGGGAAATAATTCTATTATTACGTACAAAAAAATATTTTTACGTATTACGGACGGGCGTGATTGTAGATACAAATTAAACCAATCAAACCAACGCTCCCTGCCACCAGAATTGTTTAATGTTTATCAACACTATGGCCGGGATCGACCGGGAATCGAACCCGGAACCGCGTTCTGCTACCAGTTGTTATGGCCTGCAGCTGCCTAGCTAAAGGTAGTATCCACCTAGGCCCATAGTAGCTAGATCCTACAGGCAGATACAGGTCGGGCTTTGGCCAAAGTAAAGATTTCTGATGGAAACAAACGAGGGGAAATGTCAATACGATAAGGCACTCACCTGCTCCCGGAGCGGAGACGATCCTCCGAGACCGGCCCGGCTGATGACAGTGTCGTGAGTGTATGTGTAATTGTATGTGCGTGTATGTTAACGGGCCCTGATCTGAATGACGCAATGCCGTCCGGAAGAAGGTATGCGCTGGTATCTTCGGAACTTTCCCCCTCGGGAGGCACTCTTCCTGGGTTGTCACGAAATGGGACAGCTACACGTAGTACTTCAGAGGTAAATCACTATTATGGTTGCACAATGAATTTAACGGAGTTAGTAGTTCCTGATGAACGATACGGTTGTCACAGCGATTTACGCGGGTTGATACTTTCTCAACAAGTTAGGAGCGGAAAAAACGTCAGTCTAGCTCGCAAGAAATTCTACAATAATTCTCAAAAAGTCCTATCCGGGGGGAGGGGGAGGTGACCTCAATATCGAGGCCAAGCGCGCGCGTTAGAATACGTTTCGAAGGTAAATAATAAAAATAAATATTCTTGCCTAAACAGTGAGATTGAGAGGTTCTATGGGCAGCTGTACACGTCATCGTTGGAGCCACACGCAAGTGTGAGTAACGATCCAAGAGCGATTCTCATCCGACACTATTCCGAAGATATCCCGGACGTCAGTCTGAGCGAGATTAGAATGGCTCTCCAGCACCTTAAAAACGGTAAGGCCCCAGGCGAGGATGGAATTACAGCGGAGCTTCTGAAAGCGGGTGGAAGACCGGTACTTGAAGTCCTTCAGAAGCTCTTTAATTCCGTCCTCCATGGTGGCATTACACCGGAGGCGTGGAGCAGAAGTGCGGTGGTCTTGTTCTTCAAGAAAGGTGACAACGCTCTCTTGAAGAACTACAGACCGATTTCCCTTCTGAGCCGCGTCTACGTGCTGTTTTCGAGAGTCATTACGAATCGTCTCGCGCGCAGACTTGACGACTTCCAGCCTCCCGAACAATCCGGTTTCCGAAAGGGCTTTAGCACCATAGACCACATACATACCCTTCGGCAAGTTGTACAGAAGTCCGAAGAGTACAATTTGCCACTATGTCTGGCGTATGTGGACTATGAGAAAGCCTTTGATTCCGTTGAAATTTGGGCGGTGCTGCAGTCCCTTCAGCGGTGCCAAGTTGACTGTCGGTATATCGAAGTGTTGAAGTGCTTGTACAGTAGGGCTACGATGGCTATCCGAGTACAGAACCAGAGTACGAAACCTATCCAATTGCAGAGAGGTGTAAGACAGGGTGACGTCATATCCCCGAAACTCTTCACCGCTGCATTGGAAGACGTTTTCAAGCTTCTGGACTGGAAAGGATACGGTATCAACATCAGTGGCGAGTACAAGCTCAAGGTCGCTCAGCGAGCTATGGAGAGGGCTATGCTCGAAGTTTCTCTGCGTGATAAACTTAGGAATTAGGATATCCGCAGTAGAACCAGAATAACCGACATAGCCCAACGGATTAGTAAGCTGAAGTGGCAGTGGGCCGGCCATATAGCTCGAAGAACCGACAACCGATGGGGAAGAAAGGTTCTCGAGTGGCAGCCTCGTACCGGTAGGCGAAGTGTAGGGCGTCCCCCCACGAGATGGAGTGACGACCTGGTAAGACATGCAGGAAGTCGATGGATGCAGGTGGCTCAGGACCGTGCTTTGTGGCATTCTTTGGGAGAGGCCTATGTTCAGCAGGGGACTTGTGAAGGGCTGTAATGATGATGATGATGAAATCTAATCCAGTTCAATCCCCAGAAGACACAAGTTTGCGCGTTTACCGCTAAAAAGACCCCTTTTATTCGTATCTCCTCAGTTTCCAGGCACTCTCCTTGTTGCCTCGGTCAGCATAGGAATCCCCGGTGTCGACATATCGAGTGACGTGCAGTTTCGTGGTCACTTGGAAGAGAAGGTTAAATTGGCCTCTAAAAAGCTTGGCGTGCCCAGCAGAGCGGAACACTATTTCATGCCGGCACACTGCCTGCAACTTTAAAAGGCGCAGGTTCGGCCTAACATGGAATACTGTTCCTATCTCTGGGCTAGGGCTCCCCAGTGCCAGCTCCTTCCACTTGACTGCATCCAGCGCAGAGCGGCTCGAATCGTCGACGACCGAGTCCTTTCCGATCAGCTCGATTCACTGGTGCTGCGAAGAGATGTTGCATCCCTTTGCATTTTCTTTCGCGTCTACCACGGGAAGTGGCCTGAGAAATTGTTCAGATTAATACCAGCCGCTACATTTCACGAACGCACATCGTGGCTAGACTCCCGATACCATCCACACCATCTGGATGCTTGGCGGTCCACCACTGTACGTTTCACTAGGAGTTTTCTTTCGCGTACTACTTCTCTGTGGAATTGTTTACCACCGGCGATTTTTCCGGACCGATACGACTTAGGGACCTTCAAGAAAAGAGCTTACTCCTTTCTAAAAGCCCGGCAACAGGTGCGATTCCCCTGGTGTTTCAATTATTCATGGGCGGTGGTAGTCACTTACCATCAGGTGAGCCGTATGCTCGTTTGCCCGCTATCCTATAAAAAAATCTAACAACAAAATTCGTCAAACCGTTTAGGTTACAGAAGTTCAAGTTAGATACATACCATAATATAATAATCTTTACCATACACACAAACACCCACAAATCTGTACCCTTCTTTAACCCATTCTTAAGATAAGTTCTTTTTTTTCTTTATTTTTCAAAGCATATTAACTCACGGTCCAAATGTGACATAACAACTTTGTCTGCGCGCCCACCCGCCTCCAGATATAAACGCATTATCTCGAATGGGGCTTCTGGATCTCGGTGTGGGTGAAAACTTACCCCGCAGTTCAACTGCGCTTGTAACTCACCGGATGCCGTGATAACTTTGCGCTCGAAATCTGTAAAAGTATTTTGGGGTTAAGATAAAAAATAAATAATAATAAAAGTGCCAGCATTCCTGTGTCTCGGTTTGAAGGCCATAGAGAGCCAATATAAATGCTTATGTGGTAGAGCTACGCTGCAGCTATATTATGGTTGCAGCACGAATTGGTCAGCTCAACCGAAGTAGGACTAGCCTCTTACAGAATACCAGCGTGAAACAGTAGCATAATGCCATGTTTCTGATGGTGAGTGTAGAGAACCGGAGACACTTTTTACTGGCATCGAGGCATTCCATCTAAGTCTTTCTCTTTTTATACGTGGTAAAGCGATGCTGCAGCTATATTAATAGAATAGTTGTAAAACGAATGGGTCGGCTCGACCGGGGAAGGACCACGCTCTCGCAGAATACCAGCGTAAAATAGCATTTTAACGCTGCTGTGTTTCGTATGGTGAGTATAGAGAACCGGAGACCCTTTTTACTGGAAAGGAGGCATTCCATCTTAGTCCTCACGGGTGACAACGCATTTGCATTTTATTCGTAATCGAAGATAGATGTAGATGTCTATGGGCTACTGCAACCACTTACCATCAGGTAGACTGTGTGCTCGTTTGTCACTCTTATCCTATAAAAAAAGACCAACGAGGCAGTCAATGTTGATTACAGGCTGTTTGACATTTCATTGACCATGGTTGCAATGGCCACTTACTTTCATGTGGATTGTTGTCTCGTTTTTATTATACATAAACACGATGATGTGCTCTCTTAAATTGCAACAATAACTTCTACTCACCTTTTATGGGCCAAACACTAGCAATTTCCCCAACAAATCCCGCTTTTACTGATTGATAATCAACACAGCCTTCTGTTAATTCCTTTAACATGTGATTGTAAAGCTCTTCTTTGGTGTTGTTTATGGAAGAGTCGGGTTGCGTGTCTGCTATGTAGAAACCTGTTCCAGCTACAACGTGTACACCAGTGTTGGAAGAAACATTCTTAAGGAATTCGATGTTTCTCTCTAGCCCTACTGTAGAGTTCTCCACAATAGTACCTAGAACATCAAAGTATATACTGAAATATTTTTCGCTTGAATTATGCGGATGATATTATATATAATTACTAAGCCTTATCTTATAAAAGTAATAATAATAATAATTACTAACGATCAACCCCGGCTTCGCACGAGAGATTTCTGTATCACGACAACCGCGCCACTTACCGGGTCCAACTATAGCTAATAACCCTCCAGGTGACCCCATAAGTACCCTTAACTATTTCATCAAAATTTATCAAGCCGTTTACGAGAGGAGTAACGAACAAAACGAATAACGAAAAAATTTCGGTGCACTCCGAAATTTTATATATAAAGATAATTAGGGTAATATTGATCTCTCGACTGGTTTATAAACCCCGACGTAAACCGAGCGGTGTTATATGTTTATTGTGTCTCTGTGTGTCTGTGTGTCTGTGTTTCTGTCTGTAGCATCGTAGCTCCTGAACAGATGAACCGAATTGAATTAAGTTCTTTTCGTTTGAAAGGTGTCGTAATCGAGTGTTCTCGGCTATGTTTCAAGAAAATCTGTTCAGCTATTCGAAGATCATCAGCTCTTTTTATTTCAGGGGGGTTTTTAATTTAAGTTATTAAATGTTTCTTTGTAGATACTCGATATAATCGCAACGATGTACAAGTATTAGCGATCGCAACATCAGATGTCTCGCTCACGCACCTTTACTCCCCGTCGCGATAACGAGTTGATTACAACACTATCTATTGAAAGCCATAAGATTTTTCTGGCATTTTCCACAGTCAACTCTTACGACAACCACAGAAAAAATTATTCGTTAAGCTGCCACCATAACGTGCACATATAATTTAAAATTAAAATTTTTGTACAGCCGACTTCAATATTATTAATTATTAAGAATAACTCAAAAACTATTGGTCTGATCAAGGTCAAATTTATATGGGACCACGCGAGAACTACCAGCTTTCAAATAAAAAAAGAATCTTCGAAATCGGTTCACCCAGTAAAAAATTATGAAGTAACACACATAAAAAACAACCTACAGTCGAATTGAGTATACCGTCTCCTTTTTTAGAAGTCGGCATAAAATATAATCTATTCACTTACCACCGCCAAACGTTTTAAAAGCCTTGACATCATTTAAAACAGCTTGCTGAGATTCTGGGTCATTAAGAAGTAAGTTACATTGAGAACTGTATGGGTATTGTCTTAAAAATCCGACATTTTCGAGCGAAAATCCTAACTGAAATTTATCGGCAATTTGTTTTGGCGGTTGTCTGTAGAAATGTGTGAATTTCATATGCAAATGCTCATGAGTGAGCGTCAGGCCGAGCGCGCTGGGACTCACATCGCCATTAACTGTAATAAAAAATAAAATTTGAATCGATTAAGTCTTGTAACGTGGTAGAACCATGCTGCGGCTATATTATGGTCGTAACACGAATGGGTTGGCTCGATCAGCGAAGGACCACGCTCTCACAGAATACCAGCGTAAAATAGCAGCTCAATGCTGCTGTGTTTCTTATGGTGAGTGTAGAGAACCGAAGACCCTCTTTATCACGTACCACCAGGTGGACTGTGTGCTCGTTTGTCACCCATATTCTATAAAAAAAGGCTGAAGTACAGACAAATCGAGCGTACTTATTTTGTCAAAGATTAATTTATGTAAGTAAAACCCATATGGAAAAAAATTATATTATAAAAGTTCGGTTTTGATATTTTTTAATTATGTATTTGTTTGAAAAAATAACACAGATTTCCTTAAAAATAAAATATTAATTGAAATTGGGCAACCCTAATTCAAAGTTGTTTGGCCCTGGTTATCAATTATTCGCTAGTAAAACAAGTTGATACACTGGTCCATACAGTCGTGAAAGTGGACTTGTGTGCGTCTCTTTTTGTTTAGTATTCGCGTTAACAGTGGCAATAGCATACCACCTCAATTACCTCATTACGGTTCTTAAAACCTTGCGGTGTCTATTGAACCAGATAGCATACCGGCTATTATTCTAAACGCTTGTGCGCTTGAGTTGTCTCCTGTGTTGACATGCTTATTTCACCGCTCATTTAGAACTCGAATAGTACTCAAATATTAGAAGATAGCCAATCTGCAGCCTGAGCCCAAAAAAAGGCGGACGGGGCGAGCCTGCCAATTATCGGACAATTTTTATCACCTCCATACTCAGGGTTGTACTAGGACAAAATGACGTAAATCGGTAAACTTCTAATCTTTGCGATTGCCATATATATATAGGCGGGGCCCTTCCATGGAGAATTTTTGCAACTTCCATGGAGAACAATGGTGAAGCACTTGCTGTTTCGCTTGATTTCTCGAAGACCTTTAACAGGACTTGGCACGCTAGCCTTTAAGGTAAGCCTTCAACGTACGGGTTTTCACTTGGTCTGACTAACTGGGTGATAGACTTTCTGGGTGAATGGTCTCTCCGAGTTGTCGTCGAGGACTGCTTGTGCCGAGCCTATAAAGACTAACGCCAGTGTTTCTCAGGGCTCTGTTCTCTCCACAAATATCTTCCTGCTGCATATAGATGACCTGCTTTTGCCCAGCGCAGCATATATGGGTATGCAGTCAACATTAAAGTTTTATGAACATACCAGCCGAATGCTCGAGACAGTTGTGATCAATTCGCAAAATCTCCAAATGAAGCGATCCCAAACTTGGGAGCCCGGCTCCTTTTTTTCGGGATGTATCTTTGCAGGATAAAATTACTTTGAACGGCAACTCTGAACGGTTTATTTCTTACATTGGGGAAAAGTCTACATATACCCGCCTAGCGTCAACAAGATCGGGTTTTGTTTCTTGTTTATTTTTAAACACTTTACCCCAAATTTACTCTTGTATCGTGGAATCAGTTTACATATGTATGTTTATTTATGTAAAATGCACAAGGACAAACATTCAGACCCGGAACAATTACTTGTAGGCCCTACTAATACTTGTTCCGTACGGGATTCGAACACTATTGCGCTATTGCGCCACAAGTTATGTCAAACTCGCACCAATTAAAACCTCATGGCAAAACCGCAAGGCCACGAGACGGCTACCCTCGCACACATCCGTGATGGTACTTCACACCGAGACAGCTTCTTACCCTACATAAAGCGCAAGTGCGTCCGTGCTTGGAGTAGGTATTGCTTTTACATAAGGCTACTGATGTTAAATTTTTATAAGATAGGGGTGACAGACGAGCACGTGGACTGTCCACCTGATGGTAAGTGTTTGTTGTGACCCATAGACATCTACATCTATCCTCGATAAAGAATCAAAATATTGATGCATTGTTACTCGAGAGGACTAAGATGGAATGCCTCGTTTCCAGTAAAAAGGATCTCCGGTTCTCTACACTCACCGTACGAAACACAGCAACGTTATGCTGCTATTTTACGCTGGTATTCTGTGAAAGCGTGGTCCTTCCCCGGTCGAGCCGACCCATTTGTGCTAAAACTATACTAGGTACTAATATAGCTGCAGCATGGCTCTTCCACATAAAAAATGACAACTAGCAGCATTTATCTCAGTGGAGTGGCGTGCTAACAGGCTTATTGATGAGTATTGTCCTTTATTTGGTTCCCTGCCCCAAACACAGCCGCAGAACTGACCACAGCCAACCTTTATGTGTCCTATTCCGTGAAGTGGGTGTAAGAATTACATGATTAAATTTTTTCCACCATGTTTTTCTGGTTTTCATCATTAATTTTTTCACACATCATCTGAAAACCAGACTGTTTCGATTACTTCGTCTTTCGTAATGTGTACAGGTCCGGTCTGTCTTTCCGTCCGGTTACAATCTGGGTGTATTTAAGGCAAAGAGTGAATAGACTTTTGTTGTGCTAAAACAATGTGACTTATCATCTAAATTCTAGAGCTTAATCACCGCTTACTAGCAGGTGGGATTGTAGTTAAGCAGTGTCATTAAGTAAAAAATGACAAAGTTGAACACTCGCAGCAACGTCAAAAGTGCGTGACGTTTAGTACTGCGATAGCCAAACCGACACTACGCTTGACGACGGCAAATACACATACAGGAGGTATTTACTAAGGGCGATGTTACACAGTTCACTTTTGCCTTTCAATTTGAATGAACAAAATTAATCAATGTAAATATAAAAGAGAATCATTCAATGTTATCATTCACTGGCAATGAAAGAATTAAAACGCTTGAGGACGCGTTTACAAAATTGATAGGTATAGAATCGAACTATTACATTGACACTGGTCACATACACAAGTGTACGCACGGTTAGCTGCGGGGGGAATCGCAATCAAGTATAAACATTTTGATAATTTGAAAATTGTTTTTTTTTCATATTTCTTTTTACCTACAAAAATATACTTAGATACGAAATATAAATGGCTGCTCCAGAGACAGCTAGGTACTAGAAGCCATCTACAGGGAGTGAGATGTTGGCTGTGGACTTTGAGCTGGTTTTGTTAGTTATGATAACTTCAGCTCCGAATTTGGTGAAGTGACTTGAAGGTATACTTGGGTGACTGCTACTGGAAGTCCTGGACGAGTAGTACCATGTGTGCCGAGTTAGGGCTCATTATGTTAGTTATGACGAGGCCTTACCTCCGGACTTGATGGAATGACCTGAAGGTGTACTTCGGTAACTGCTAGTGGAACTCCTGGACGAGTAGAACTAGGTATGCCAAGTTTGGGCTCGTTTTGTTAGTTACGATGAAACCTTACCTCCGGACTTGACAGAATGACCTGATGGTGTACGTTGGTGACTACTACTGCAACTCCTGGACGAGTAAAACTAGGTATGCGTAGTTTGGGCTCGTTTTGTTAGTTACGATGAGACCTTACCTCCGGACTTGACAGAATGATCTGATGGTGTACGTTGGTGACTACTACTGCAACTCCTGGACGAGTAGAACTAGGTATGCCAAGTTTGGGCTCGTTTTGTTAGTTACGACTAGACCTTACCTCCGGACTTGACAGAATGACCTGATGGTGTACGTTGGTGACTACTACTGCAACTCTTGGACAAGTAGAAGTAGGTGTGCAGAGTTAGGGCTCATTATGTTAGTTATGACGAAACCTTACCTCCGGACTTAATGGAGAGACCTGATGGTGTAATTTAGTGACTACCACTGGAACTCCTAGACGAGTAGAACTAGGTATGCCAAGTTTGGGCTCGTTTTGTTAGTTACGACGAGACCTTACCTCCGGACTTGATAGAATGACCTGATGGTGTACGTTGGTGACTACTACTGCAACTCCTGGACGAGTAAAACTAGGTATGCGTAGTTTGGGCTCGTTTTGTTAGTTACGATGAGACCTTACCTCCGAACTTGACCGAATGACCTGATGGTGTACGTTGGTGACTACTACTGCAACTCCTAGACGAGTAGAACTAGGTATGCCAAGTCACTGAAGTACACCATCAGGGCTCTCCATCAAGTGCGGAGGTAAGGTCACGTCATAACTAACAAAACGAGCCCAAACTCGGCACACCTAGTTCTACTCGTCCAGGTGTCCCAGTAGTAGTCACTGAAGTACACCTTCAGGTCATTCCTTCAAGTCCGGAGGTAAGATCTCGTCATAACTAACAAAACGAACCCAAACACGGCACACCTAGTTCTACTCATCCAGGAGTTGCAGTAGTAGTCACCAACGTACACCATCAGGTCATTCTGTCAAGTCCGGAGGTAAGGTCTAGTCGTAACTAACAAAACGAGCTCAAACACGACACACCTAGTTCTACTCGTCCAGGAGTTGCAGTAGTAGTCACCAACGTACACCATCAGGTCATTCTGTCAAATCCGGAGGTAAGGTCTCATCGTAACTAACAAAACGAGCCCAAACACGGCACACCTAGTTCTACTCGTCCAGGAGTTGCAGTAGTAGTCACCAACGTACACCATCAGGTCATTCTGTCAAGTCCGGAGGTAAGGTCTCGTCGTAACTAACAAAACGAGCCCAAACTTGGCATACCTAGTTCTACTCGTCCAGGAGTTCCACTAGCAGTTACCGAAGTACACCTTCAGGTAATTCCTTCAAGTCCGGAGGTAAGGTTTCGTCATAACTAACATAATGAGCCCAAACTCGGCACACCTAGTTCAACTCGTCGAGGAGTTCTAGTAGCATTCACCGTATACTTTCAGATCACTCCATAAAGTCCAAGACGAATAGGATTTATATATATTTATATATTATAAATCCCACTTGCTTTTAGCGAAACAAAACATCATAATAAGAATTTGTGATTATAAAAATATTTATATTATGTATGTATTATTTTACTTTGTCAGGTCATGTACCTATGTATCAAATTCGAATATTTTGTGTTTTTTACGACCATTTGTGACATTTTGATAAAAAGTAATCACCAGCATTTTTTATTGAATATGTCTGCCTACTTACAGTATTTTTAAAAATCTTAATATATGTTGATAATAGAACAAAAAATGTACCGAAATATGAGCCGGTATCGTTAATTTTGTAGTAAATGGCTAGGGAAGATCCTTTTTACAATGTAAAAAACTACATTTTCAACAAAAAAGTTACCACCATTTGAAGATAAAGAACCATTCTATACGTTGTAGTCATTAGTTATATTTGATTTGGTTTAGTTTTGTCACAAAATGTACCGAAAAACAGCATAATTTGGCCCGATTTGCAAACGCACCCTTAATATTTTCGCCCTTCACTCTTCTTCTTAAACGCAGACTTAATTAGACAACTTCCGAGTAAAGTGAATTTAATGAATTAAAAGGATCACTTTCTACATACGGGGTTAATCATCATACACCTTAATTTCTGCACATTGCAAACAAAGTTAATTAAATTGGTTGAAGTGTGTATTATCGCCATAATATGAGGGAGTGGTTCATTGTTTCCAAACTAATGAGGATGAGGGAAGAAGTGAAATTTTTCCTTTCTGAGCGTTCACGTCAGTAGAATCTAAACGTAGTGATTATATTCTCTTTGGTAGAATCTACTAGTTAGTCTGTGGTTCACGTAGGAATAATGATGTATGAATCAAAATAGCTCATTCAAACTACAAGCAATTCTTACATATATTTATAGGTAGGTGTGTAAAAATTATTCTGAATTAATAAGAAATTACCTGTTTGAACTCTTGTAGTCATCGCTTAGAACTTTAACAAGTAAAATTTGACAAACTCTTTGCGACAAAAGTATCACGTACTCTATAAATTCACGAACAGTATCTAATATCTAGTTCAAGGTTCTATTTATACACTTGTATTAATAAAAACTTATAACTACAAGGCCAAGCACATCATATCATTCAATATCATTTAATTATTCAATAATACAGTGAACTGCAGAGGCATGGGTAGGAAAGAGTAGGATACCTACAATTATGACCTAATGTGACACAATAATAATTCCTTGATTAATAGTAATATCAAAGAGAATATAATCACTACGTTTAGTAATATGTTATCAATCTTTGTTATCAATAGCTGCGTTGCAATGTTGCCACCGCAGAATTTTAATTTTGAAATGTTTGGTAATTTATAATAACTACTTAAGGTTTCTTAGTTTTGGCTTGCAACTTACTTTAATTGGGATAGTTAAAATTTACTTTAAATAATTTGTGCATGTGTATAATTAACAGCAGCAAACTAAATTACATAAACTGGATGGAAGGAAAAGTCAATGTAGGAAATTCTTGATCAGCGGAAAAAAAGATGTCGGGAGCTACCCACATATGGGCGTTGTCTCTACATGATAAACTTAGAAATGAGGATATCCGGAGTAGAATCAGAGTAACCGACATAGCCTAAGGGATTAGTAAGCTGAAGTGGCAATGGGCTGACCATATAGCTCGAAGAACCGATAACCGATGGGGAAGCAAGATTCTCGATTATCAGCCTCGTACCGGTAGGCGAAGTGTGGGTCGGACCCCTAGTTGGAGTGACAACCTGGTAAAACATGCAGGGAGTCGATGGATGCAGGTGGCTCAGGACCGTGCTTTGTGGCATTCTTTGGGGCAGGCCTATATTCATATCTGTATAGTGTATTCGCTAAGATAGTGTCGGTACATCCGGAGGCGCACTTATTATTTTTCTTGTATTTTACTATTTTTACTGTGTTTGTTAAATAAAAGTTTTTGTATTCTATTTTATTCTCATAAATCATAGAATACCATTTTATGCTTATGGTTAATGTAATAAAATACGAATATAAATAATATAAACAAGTTAGGTAGCAAAGAATATTTCACTACGGCGCTTCGTTTTAAAATGCCAAATTTCCCTTCGGGTGTACGCCACACAGGGCGACTTTTGCTATTGCGGCGGCGCCTATGGCATCATGCGGCACTTGCCAAGGCGGCTCGAAACAAAGGAAACCGTATCTAAGCGAACAGACTATAATGGTGATGAAGATGGGAAAGAAGATATGTTGGTGTATTAATTTTAGGTAAAAACGTAACGAAATCAATATATATTTTAACAACACAACGTAGCATCTTTAACGCTACGTTCGGGGTAAGTAAAAATGCCGATTAGTATGAGTAATGGATGTATTCTTAAACATACACAGCAAGTAGGTATACAATTACGTCGTCCAAAATCGCTGAGCTTCTTCGGTGAGGTCTTTAATAATCGCAGAAGTCGCTGATCGATTGCTCGCCTCCCGAAGTAGAGTTCACTTTCGCGTTCCCGAAATAATTAATTCTGCGACCGCCGGCGCACGCTTTCATACTAAATAAAAGGAATTTAGAACATTCTAAGTTATGACCATAGATTTAGTATATTATACTTACGTTAGATTGGCAATGTAAAAGAGAAAGGGCATAGCATATGCTTACGTTAGAACGAGATAGCATGGCTAGTGGATAGGGTAAAATATCGGATTTTATTACGATAATGATCTAAATGCGTAAGAATTATATTAAAAATAATAACAAATACGTGAATTCCCGCTATTTCTGATCTAATTTTTGTAGTAGTTGTTGTTGTTTTTATTATTCGCTCGAGAGAGCAGGCAAAGGAACTAAACCATACAGCCTTGTCTTTTTTATTTTGAATATTCCTTCATAGTTCATTGCTTCACATTATGTTGATGCGTCACATTGTGCAGCCCTTGGGAGATTTTGACGGCAACTTGAGCCTTTCTTGTTTCACAGTTTCCACTAATAGTTCACATGCGTAGACAGTTAATACATAAAATCGCACCTCTTTTACATATCAAAATCCACTTCAAACTATTATTTAAACTACAATACAGGAGCAGCAACCCGCCGCCGGTCAAGTTCCCGCCAAAACTCCCTAATTTTTGTAGAGATTGACACTATCAATATCATCTTATAGATAATATGTTTCTAACAGGCAAAGGCATATATTTGGACGCAGCCTCTTCTAACTTCGTATTATTTTTAATTTCTTTAATTTTTATGGTTTCGTAACCAAATGTAAACGTAAACAAACAGTAAATACTTTAATGAGATAATTTAAACTCTTATAATGTTTCAGATTTCCAAAAAATATGGAACAAAAATGGTTAAAATGATAAATAGAGAAGACTGGATTCCCAAAAAATATTCAACTAAGTATATGTAGCAAACACTTTGAACAATTTTTTTTATCATAGAAGTGCACAACGAGTAAAACTGCGTTCTGGTTCAAAACTTATATTATTTATGCCCGTGCGTAGTTCCTTATTATATATTTCACTGCACATGTTAATTTCGCTTACGCATGTTCAAATGTGTACAATTTGTTGTCGTCATTCTTATGATGCAAATTTTTTTATAAAACGAAAGTAACAAAGGAATTTACAGTTTCACTTGATGGTAAACGGCTACTGCAGTACGTGGTCACCTACTGTCAGCTTCAAACAAAGAAAGCTACAAATGTGTTTTTTTTATAGGAGAGGGAAACGAAACGAGTATGCGGCTCACCTGATTATAAGTGACTACCGCCGCCCATGAACAACTGTAACACCAGGGGAATCGCAGATACGTTGCCAGCCTTTTAAAAAGGAGTACGCTCTTTTCTTGAAGGTCCCTAAGTCGTATCGGTCCGAAAAAATCGCTGGTGGTAATCGATTCCACAAGGAAGTTGTGCGAGGGAGAAAACTTCTTCTAAATCACACAGTAGTGGACCGCCAATCATCCAGATGATATCGATGGTATCGCGAGTTTTGTCGCGATGTGCGATGGTGAAATTGAGCGGCTGGAATTAGTCCGAACAATTCCTCAGAGCACTCCCTGTGATAGATGCGATAAAATACGCAAAGAGATGCAACATCTCTACACAGTGCCAGAGAGTCAAGCCGATCGGAAAGAAATCGGTCGTCGACGATTTGACCCGCTCTGCGCTGAATGCGGTCAAGAGGAAGGAGCTGGCACTGGAAGGGAACAGTATTCCATGTGAGACCGAACCTGCGCCTTGTAAAGTTGCAAGCGGTGAACCCGCATGAAATACTGTCCCGCTCTGCTGAGCGCGCTAAGCTTTTTAGAGGCCAATTTGGCCTTCTCTTCCAAGTGACCACGAAACTGCATGTCACTCGATAAGTCGACACCGAGTTTACCGATACTGGCTGAGGCAACAAGGGGAGTACCTTGATACTGAGGAGATACGACAAAGGAGTTCTTTTTAGCGGTTAACGCACCAACTTGTCTTCTGGGAATTGAACTGGACTAGATTTAGATTTAGTCTGAGACTTTGTTCAACAAAGTCTCGACTTCAGACACAAGTTTGTTCCGGTACTCGGCGACATTTTCCTGAGAAATATTGGCACGGCCTGTGTATAAATCATCACCAGTGCTGTCGTCTGCATAGCAATGAATGTTATTAGTTTGCAACATATCATTGATATACAGAAGAAACAGCGTTGGTGATTGCAAGTAAAGAGATGAAGAGAAGAAGAACATGCATCATCTACTACGACCTTGGTGCTCCGATCTGCAAGAAAACTGGTGATCCAATTACACAATTTCTCGGGAAGCCCATAGGAAGGCAGCTTCGAAAGAAGCGCTTTGTGGTAAACCCGATCCAAAGCCTCCGCTATGTCCAAACTAACAGCCAACGCCTCCCCCTTGGACTCCACTGCCTCCGCCCATCTATGAGTTAGGTAACCTAGAAGATCACCAGCTGAGCGACCTCGACGGAAACCTTACTGGCGGTCCCTAATCAGCTGGTGATCCTCAAGGTACCGCATGGCTGTTAATAATGGTTTCCATTACTTTGGAGAACAAGGAGGTGATAGCGATAGGCCTGCAGCTAGACGGATCTGAGAGGTCGCCTTTTTTAGGGATCGAGTGCACAAAAGCTGCTTCCATGAGAACTACGCCTAAGGAGTAGGAGTACCGAAAAAGACGGCATCGACGGAGACCTGATATCCGTCCGGATGAGAGATCAGCAGAAGGTCCAACAGGGAAGGTACATGATCCTCCACATCTGGGATCCGCGTAGGCGAAGTAACCAGTTGTGTCAGACTTGCCAAGACAAAGTCATAAACGGATCTACAAGCATAAACGGTTAAACGGAAAATAAGCTATTCAGCGTGGTGTGCTTTAAAGTCACCGAAGATAACGATCTCTGCGGATGGGATCTGTAGTAGCACGGAGTCTGCAGCCATTTGGACGTTGTCGATGAGTGGGTCTGTGTCGGCATTACCGCAATGGGACCTAAAGAGGCAACCGTAGATGCGGCGATGATCGTCGCTGTCTACGCGCAGCCATCGGATGGACAGGCCTGTACCTTCAAGACTGCCGAAGCGTCGAAAACAGATGTCCTCTCTGACGTATACGCAAATCCCAGCCCGAAGCACAAAGAAGTGTTCTAATTTGTACCCAGGGTAGGAGAGGTGCGAAGTATCAGCCGTAGAGGATACCTGTGTCTCGGTTAGAAAGACCAAGGCCGGCTTTGCCGTCGAAGTCCCCTGATGTTGCAGAAATTCACGAATAGCGTGGCGGGGGTCACCTTTGTATTATTGCTCCGTTTGCCCCAAGCAGTTTTAGTCGCGAGCGGAATTTCGTCTTGAGAGGGATAAACAGAAATAAACAGCAGTGCTTACACTGCCGTTTTTCGGCCTGTTGTGTGTAGAGAGCCTGCTATTCGTGAATTTCTGCAACATCAGGGGACTTCGACGGCAAAGCCGGCCTTGGTCTTTC